AGTAATATGTTATATGTGAATATATTAAATATATCCAGAATATACATATTAATATAAGATATATAGTATATAATAATATATAATATTAATATATATATATATTTATGTAATATATAATTTATGTTACCACTATATATATATATATATTATTATATAGTACGTACTAATATTATAATATATATACCGATATATACTTATTATATATTTAGTGTATATATATTTAATTGTACATATATAGTATATAATAACTATATAATATATAATAAGGATATATATAGTAAATATATATATTGATACTGTATATACTACATATAAATTATATATAATATATAATATATATATTATATAAAACGATAATACTATTTATAATATTATTTAGTGTGTATATATAATTATGTATATTAAAACTAATATATATGTTTATGGATACTATATTTATTGGTAGGATATAATATATATATGATATACATAGAAATTATATTATAAGTATTATATATACTATACATTTAATATATATTATATATATAATATATATATATAATATAATATATATTTATTTTATTTATTATGCTGTATATATATATTTATATATATACATATATACTATTATTATATTATACTATACATATAATATATATATATATATATATAATAGATATACCAGTATAATATTATATATACTAATATATAATAATATATATATTTATTTATTATTTACTGTATATATATATTATGTTTATATAACCATACTAGTACTATAATATATATTTATTTATTATGTACTATATATATTGCCTGCATGCTATATACTATAAGCCTAGATATAGTTACTCCTTTAAGCCTGAATATAACTCCTGATCATACCTATTTAATATTTTCGATCTTAATATTACTATATATATATCTGTATATATATTAGCTAATAGAAATATATACCATGAATATTACAAATTATAGCGTATATTATATATATAAACTATCTATATTATATATATATATATATATAAGTCCTCACTACTAGTACTATAATACAATCATAACTGACTATATCATAGAATATACACAAAATTAGTATATATACACGATTTGAATTTAATCATATAGTCATAGTCTCAGTAATATATATATAATATTATAGTACTATATATAATATTAATATATATATACTATACTATAATATACCCATCTATTACATAATAGTATATGATATTACTTTGTAATATGGATATATATTATATAGTAGATATTATGTTATATATATTTTGTATATATACTTATATTATACGTAATATAATACTTTTAATATTAGTAGATATATATACTATATACACCACCATAGCTATACTATAATTATATACTATATATATATATAACTATACTATACCCTATCACTATATACCTATGCTATGATATATGTACTTATATAATACATTATCCTATATATGCGTTAATAATGTCGGGGACAGCCTATATAGACATTACTGTATAATATACATTACATGTACAATAGTATGTGAGGCGATATATATTTATGTGTATAAGATATATATTACTGTTCATATATATTTACTGCCGGATAGTTCTAGTATGATTTAGTACATATATACTTTATGTATAACAATTTATGTATAACATCTTTAGGTAATATATTTTAATGTATATACATTTATTGCCTATAATATATTTATGTATATACATTTTATGTATATATATTTATGCCTATATTATATTTTATGTTAATTCTAATCTATGTATACATATGTTAATGATATATCTATATCAATTGTAATATATTGTTATGTTTAATATATATCTTACAGCGGATGTATACTATATTTACTTGTAGATATATTTATGTAATATATTTATGTATATTACGTTATGGTATATACTATTACTGTATTCACTTATATTTATCTACTATATATTTAGTGTATATACTATTTTATGTATATACTATTTACTCTGGTATATGATATCTACTTGTATGATGATATTTAATGGTAATAGACAATTCTAGTACTATCTTATTTATGTATATATATATTTCATATTGTATAATATATTCTGATATATATACTTTATGTATATGATATTTCATTGCCTATATATAATTATGGTACTGAATATATAATTATATATATTTATAAGGTGATATATTATAAATAGTAATGTGGATGATATATTATATAATGTGTGCTGGGCGTATGTGTATCGTTATGAATACATATATGCATGTGGTAGCTGAGTAGCACATATATGCATGTATATGTATTATATCTTTCTTATAATAAAAATATAAAGTTCTTTATCGATGTGCGTAATAATTTAGGTAAGTAACCGATTAAGGAAAAGATAGCACACCATGTAACTTGGGTTTCCATTCTTACCTACGAGTGTTATCTTGAAATCCCTTCTGCTTCCGAGTGTGGCGGGGGAGCGATTACGGCGCCCCAGTCCCCCAGCGAGGGATTCGGAACCCCTCGAGGTTGGGGACTGCGAGGCCGTAGGAGATGCGACGCCCGTATAAGAGGGGATGAGTGAGCCCTTCCAGTATCTAGAAGGAATTATGGTGGTGATGGAACAACTTAACTGCGAAGGGGATATTCAGCTCCTTGTGGCTGCCATGGTGCAAAACCCTCCTGAGGATGCAACTGTGGACACACCGGTGGCTCCTCCTCCTCCTCCTCCACAGCCAGCTACTGTCCAGGCGCAGAAGGCGAGTTTCTTGGCCAAGAGGTTCAAGAAGGGGCTTGCAGTGCGGGTGAGGATCAAACGTGACTCCTCCCCCGATGACGACGATGTCCTCGTGAGTCGCAAGAAGGCTTTTCGCCGCAACCTGTACCGTCCTCGACCCGGCATGGCAAATCCCTCGACAGGAGAAGGTTACTTGAAGCTAGCGACTCGAGTCCCGCCTCTTCTTCCTCCTTTACCTCCCTCTCCACCTCCTCCTCCACCTCAGCCCGTCGAGCTCGTGTCCCGTGAATGCCAGACGAGGCCCCTGGCCATACCCAGGGTTCCAGTGGCCAGTCGCACGTTCCCCGCTCCCTGGAGGAGGAGGATCTACATGCCCATCTCTTTGCACAACAGTGACGCCGACGACGCCCTTCCTTACGTCGACGACTCAGACATCTTGTCATCTGAGAGGATCCCTGAAGGCTTGGTCGTTGTGGAAGACGTCTCTCGTAGTCAGAGCCGTACAGTGGCTACCAACACGGTCTCCATAGGGCGGAGGTTGAGCAAGACTCGAAGACCAAGGCGCAGGTACCTCTCGCGCGTTGAGGAGTGGCTCCGATCTGTCACCAAGCCACCCCAAGCCGGTCTTGAAGATATGTCAGAGCTCGCAAAATAAAATATATTTCTACATGTCGCTTTTTTTTATAGATCTGAACATGAATTATTTGAATTATCTACTAACCAAATTATGCAGCAATAATCCCGATATACAGTTCGACGAAGTAGATACATAGAGAAAAGGAGATTGCTAAATTCATTTCACGACGACATTCAGTTATAGTAACTTATAGTACACACTAATATAATACTAATAGTGATAATAATAATAATAACAATAACAATTATGATAATAAAGATAATAACATGAATAATAATTATTATGAATATAGTGATGATGAATATTGATGATTATCATGATGTACTGATAGTGAAGATAAGGATGGTGATGACAATGATAATGACGATGATGATGATAATAGCAATAATGATGAAAATAATAGTAATAATAATAACAACACAAATGCCACATAAAACGGGATCAGTAACAAATGAACAGTGCTTAATTCAAAACTACATCAATCAGACTAGTTCAGACCTTAGCAACTATCTGCCTGTCAGATTTTCACCACAGAAGTGATAATAATAATGATAATGAAAGTAATAATAATAATAATATGCTAAATTATTATTAATAAGTTAGGCCTGTCAATAAATATTTAAATTTCGAGTTAAATATAGTGGCTATTAGAATTCAATGTATGTTAAATAATCTAGCTTAATATAACTCCCAGTATATACTGAGATGTTACACTGGGATTTTAATTAATTTGTTGTATACATTACACATAAGGATTCAGTATTATAATGTAAGACACTGTGTAAGCGTATGCCCTATAATTTCTTATAGTATCACTGAAAATATGGCTTTGTAAAAAAATGAATTTAGTTCTATTTATAAAGCAACTCCAGAATGTTCTAGTATGAATTTACTTCTCTATATTCCATTATACATGATTCAAAACTATCATTATGCAGTTGTTGCAATGAATAGGATCATTCCTTTCTTTTAGAATATAAATATGGACCATTTCAAAATTAAACACACATTCCTTTTTTCTCTTGTGAAAAAAATATTATACAGTATACACACAGACGCACACATATATGTATATATATATACACACACACACACATTATACATATATATATATATATATGTATATATATATATATATATTATATATATATATATATATATATATATATATATATATATATATATATAAATATATGTATATACATAAATACTGACCATTTAAAAATCACACACACACACACACACACACACACACACACACACACACACACACACACACACACACACACACACACACACAACACACACACACCACACACTCACTCACTCACTCACTCACTCACTCACTCACTCACTCACTCACTCACTCTCTCTCTCTCTTTTTCATGGGGTGTTTTAGTAGCAGAAACAATGTCTAGATTTCAAGACTTAAAATGTAATTGATAATATCATGCCTTTGCAATTAGAAGAGTACTAAATATTTTTTTTCTGATTTATTTTGCTTCACATTTTCATTGTATTAATTTTTCTTTGTATAATAACCCATGACAACCTGAATATTTAAAGACAACTGTCAACAATGTTTCTAACAGTTCTCGTTATTATATTTGAGACACAAGTCCATACTGAAATAATATTAGGCAGAGATACTAATACTTTGTTTTTGTAGACTGTTTAATATAAAAAAGTATAATATCCATACAAAATTTACATTCATGAAATTAACATTTGTGAAGAAAATGTATGCAATATATCACAAGCCTGCATTAATAACAGTATTTCTTGTACAATATCCTGGGATAATTAATCAAAACGAAAAAAAGAACGGAAAATTATTTCTAAAAAGACAAAAAAATATACATAGTTACACACTAATGATCAGTAACTAAGCATGGGAAAAATCTCTATAGTCCTTTTATAGCACCAATCTGTCTTTTGTCTGAATATTTATGAAGACACCAATTATACCCACACAATATCCCTTTATAAAAATGATACACCAATTTCTTCCTGGAGAGAAAGGTGTAAATATTATGTTTAATCTTACTGGTTTCTTTGTTATCACAAGTAGCTTAAAAAATGCTATACTTTAATCACTAAAATGAATGAAGGAAGACAGGGAGCCAGATACAAAAAAATAATTGGTACAAACTCAAGCCACATTATTTATTTTCATAAAAAAGAGCAATGATATATTACACATATTGTATGCGTTCTTTACATGCTATTCATAACTTCATACTGAAAGAAATATTAAGAGTAAAATATATAATTAACAAATGAAAAGTAAAATTATATCCTTTCAAAAACAAATGCAGAGTAGCCTTTTTCTTAGATATTACAACAAGATTTCTGAACATATGACATAAGTATTTGATAAAATATTTCCCAAACTTAAAAAAAAGGTAATATATTTTTTCTTCCATAACTAAAAAAGTAATATTTTTCTTTAAAAAGAGAGACATGGAAAATAACAACAGGAAAGAAGAGAAAATCTAAATCTACTTCCCCTTATGTTTCTGAACAAGTGAATGTTTCAGAATGAAAGGGACTCGAGGCTTGTCTTTTAAATGAACAGGAGTGCCAGTAGCAATTCCTCCTGTCTCTTTAAATTTTGAAAGAGCTTTGTATTTTGGTGAATACAAAAATGTACACACAGGGCTGCTCCTGGCTCCTTGTCTCAACTTCTGAGAATTATACGTGCTCTGCTTGGGCATTTCACTTGAACTGTGTTTACTGGTCTCTCCTGGCAGTTCTTTTGCTCTGGTTACTTCCTTGGTAGAGGTAAAAGGAATGACTCTAGAGATCTGACTGGGTGTCTGAAGTTGATTTGGAGAATGGATGCTTCCTCCCATCTTTTTCTCATCCCCAACATCCAGATCTTCTACAAGGTTCTTTGTTAATCTTTCACTATAAGGAGTGGTCTGCAATGCTATATTTGAAATCTTTGGAACGTTTGATACCTTCGATGGTGTACCATTTAGTAGCATCTGCTGTGACTCATTTACCAATGGAACACATCTCATGTTGAGATTCTCCTGCACTTCTGCATAGTGACCACTGGTTGATGGCCTCGGTATATGATTTACAGGACTGCTACAGGATTGTGCGGATCCATGAGGAATAACCACATATTGTGATGTGAAGGAATTGCTAGGTACTCCTTGTGCAAGTAAAGTTACACAATCTGATGTTGTTTGGGGAGGTATAAAGGCATTACTGGTGGCTACTTCCTGGACTGGATGAAGCGGAGGCATCTCATACAAAACAGGAGAAGCAGAATCAGATATGATGGTAAATTGTTGAGGTAAAGGTACTAGATTCGAATCAGGGTGTTGCATAACAGTTTGAAGGGGCATGGTTAGTGGAGGTACTTGTACTTGGTATCTACTGGTCTGTCCTTGTTCTCTAGTGTTTAAAGTCTGCACAATGGGCAGGGCAGGTCCTTCAGCTGAGTGGTTAAGCCAAGGGTCACTTGAATGTATCACCCTTGGTAATATTTTCCTTGACTCTAAAGAGTTTGTACTTGTTGAATTTTCTCTTTGGCTCTTTGGTGAGGTATATATATGATCAGAACTTAAAGGAGAATTGTTGTTGGCGACTTCGCTTTTAGAAAGAATATATGAATCGTTTTGCACATCAGAATTTTCATCACTGTTCCAGGCATCATCACCCACAAATGAATCCATTGTACTGTATACTGTATTTCCTGCTTTATATTTTGCCCTGCTATTTCCCTTACTATCATAATATTTCATATCTTGTTTTATGGGTGAAGTTTCAGTAGGGACTTGCTGGTATGAAACTTCTCTTTTCCTTATTGGTAGCCCTTCCAAAAATAATGGATCAAGGTTTAGAGGGCTTAACTCAGGGAGCTGAGGTTCTGACTCCATCACTGAATCTGTTCTCTGAACCCCTTCTGTTTGGTCTATATCTAGTTCATCTCTTGGCAGACAGATATTTGTTACCTGATCTCCATTTATTTGGGTAAAATTTTGCAAGTCAGGAGTGTGAGATGTGGTACAAAATGGCACAGGGTCAAGAGGGAATTTGGTGTCAGGTCTTAACATTGACTTTCTGGCTTCATTTTGTTCTTTTGCAGAGCCTGGCACTGGAAGAAGACGTGTCACACCACCCACTCTTACTTGCATCAATAACACTCCTTTTTGCTTGACAGTGTTCCCTTGGGCTTTATTTTCCCCCTTCTTATTTAGGGGATATTTTGAAGTCATACCTGACATGAGCTTTGGTGTCTGTTCTAAGGCACTTGTACAAGATGAGGGGCTTGTATTTTCAACCTTTCTGACAGGTGGTTCTATGACAGTCATCTCCGCGTAAATGTCTGTCACATCATCATCTGTTATCTCTCTCCCTGGTAACATCAACCCAAGAAATTTCTTTTTCAGTTCAAAAAGTTTCTTGGCATCTTCAGAAATGGCTTTCCAACTAGATTTCAAGATCTTAAACTTCTTTGATTGGTGATGGATGACATCACTGGATATTTGTACATTTAAAATAATTAATTCATTACGGTCATCCATAATGTCATGCCTCTGTTCATCCTGTTCTTTTTCTCTCTTTAGAGGCATTGTGATTGATGTATCAGGAGTTACAATCTGATTGTTAGAATCTGACTGCTCAACTACTTGTGCTGGGAATGAATTTTGAGGTAAAGGGTTCTTCCTAGGTCTTCCTGGCGGCCTTCCAGTCCTGCCTATTCTTTTATGATGTTTGTTTGTCTCACCACTGATGTTCTTGTGCTCCGGAATGGATATATTTTTGCCACAGAAACTTTCTCCCTCATTCATCTTAAGGGGGTCATCTGCATCCTCTTTATCTGCTTTTGTGTGTTTGTACTTCTTTCTCCTAGATTTACGTACGGCCTTTATGGTTCCCATTGATCTCACAGGAGTATTAGTGACCTCTGCTGATGGTGGTTTCATATAATCTCTAATCTTTTCATCTGTAAGCATTTGTCCTATATTCCTACGGGATGTTCTTGATGCTTTTTTGTTGTTCTTGCTAGTAGATGTCGGTGACTTATCCATATCACTTTCACTGTCAGTGACCCCTTCCTCTCTTAGGTTCATGGTATGCGTACTACACCCTTTAAGGTAATGCATTTTACCCCCCCGCATTATTAGGCTACACTTACACTTTTTCTTGGCAAGGAGTCCCCGTCTCTTTACATAATCATCTGTTGTGGATGAGCTGACAGCTTTATTTCGTACTTCAGATCGTCGTTTTCCTGCAAGTAACATACAGCATTATTTGGTTTTTATGTGGGGCTACAGGCTCTGAAAACTAGCTGTTTTCTTTATTCTAACCTTGAAAACACATTTAATTTGCTATAATTTCATATAATAACTTCAAAACCTTTTTAACCCAAATGCTTCATACACCTCCCTGCATCTCCATTATAATACTTAGCAAACCATAACCTCATCATCATCATAATGATTATGATAATAGTAATAATAATAATAATAATAACACAAACTCACCTATATCTGACAACCAGCTTGTCTGTTGAGCTTCATTTGTACTTTCTACGGGGTTCTTTATGCCCACAGCAACTAAGAGATCCTCATTTAACTTCAAGACAGCATTCTTCACCTCTGATGTGATTGATTTATCCACCATTGATACAGCTTTTCCTGATGATGTCTTTGTATCTGATGAAGGTCAAAGATTTATTAACATCCTGCTATAAAAAAATATAGTTTATATATATTAACCACAATCTAGGGCACATTCTGAAGTTGAGAATAAATACAGTATTGTTAGTTTATTGTGTAAAGATTTCTGCTATATTTATTATCTTTTGAATAATGAGCAATCTGAAATTCTAATAAAGGAAATGAAATTAAACCACTGGATCCAAGTGCCTTGCTGTTCATATGTGGCCTAAAATCTGGACAGTAGGCTTACTTGAGTGGCCACTCTCTCAGGTGCGTGGCTTGTAGGGCCACTCTTTGCCTCCTATTTGCAATGTTTTCTTTTTTGGAATGAGCATTTTTGGCTTTCATATTATTTTCCAAGGTGTATATTTGTCATCTGATATCAAGATGGTATCTGACTCCAATTTATCTCTCCAGGTAATTTACAACCCTGTACAATAATAACAATAAGTAACATTTTGTTATTTGTGTCTAATCTTCCTCCAAGAGCTTTGTGCACTTATGGTCAGTTAATCTTGTTACCCTGGCCTTCAGCTGAATATTTCACGAGGGCATATTCCCGTCACTATCCCCTCAGCCATATGCTTCCTTGATGGCACATTCCCATTACCTGGCATTCAACTAAATTTTCTCAAGATATAAAGGCCATGCAGATCCAATGGGTTTAGATATTAAAAAAAAAGAGGAAGAAAGGTAAAAACACAAATGAAAAAGGAGATGAATAACAAAAGGAAGTAAATAAAAGAAGTAAAATTCTGAATGTTATTCGTGCTTACCTAAGAGAGCAGTCTTGATATTATCGTAATGTTGCATCAAAGCTTCATCTGTTTCAAGAACATCCATGGGCATGTTTAGGCTGACTGCAGACGTTGTGGCAATGCGCTGCAACTCGTACTTTATGCCCACTTCCTCACGTTCAGCAGAGTGGAAGTCCAAACACATCTGAAAAAAGTGCAGGAGTAAAGAGTTGTGTAAAACTTACAGTAATAATTTCTTCCTCTTTTTGGAAGCACTCAGCTGAAGTCTTCTCTTGTCTTTTGTTAGCACATTTTAAACAAGTATCTACATTTTTCTGCCCCTTATAACAAGGGGAAACATATCAACCCCTATGTCTTAACAAATTATCTTGAAAAAAATTTGGCTGTCAGAACCTTGCCATCATAAGCTGATAAACAAATGTACTTTTCTTTCTCTACACCAGAGTAATTCCATGAGGACAGTTAATATATGCATCAAATAATGTTAGGGGGACTGTCCCTAAGTGGGGGGAGGGCAGAATTGGGCGTAGGGGTGTGAAATTGATAATTCTAAAAAAAAAAAAAAAAAAAAAAAAAAAAAAAAAAAAAAAACACGGTCTTGTGGATTTTCTTGATTTTGGGATATTTGTTGTACTTTCATATTCTGCACCTTTTGATACTAATTTTTTTTTCTTTCTTTTTCACATGTGTCTGCATGGTTGATTCCTTGTCCAGAGGATTATGAATTATGTTATGAAAAAAAAAAATTGTGAATGAACATCAATGAATTCCTAAGACATTTATGATTCAACATTTTGGAAATTTGAATTAGTTTCCTCAGGGAAAAAAATGGAAAAAAGTCTTTTTTTCGATTTTCAAAAAATCTGTATAGAAAAAGCAAGCAAAATTTAAAGATTTTTAATCATAGATGTCTGCGCATTTTCACAAGGTTTCCAAAGATATATCCAAAAATTTAATCAGGTAAAAACTCTGGGAATCAAGGAATCAACCGTAGCTTGAAAAAAAAAAAAAGAAAAAAAAAAAAAAAAAAAAAAAAAAAAAAAAAAAAAAAAAAAAAAAGTTGGATATTTGAAGATCATTAAAAAAAATTTTCATTATGGATCTTCACCATTTCATTACTATAGAAACTACTATTATTCCTCAAATGCACTTTGCTAAGTAAAGATATGATCATTAGTCTCTAAGTCACAGAAACAAACAAACAAATGACTCCCGTGAAAAGAGGCAAATCCAGACCTAAGACAACATGACCGTTATATAATATTGGTTGTTCCATGTTTTATACCTCTTTTATTAATGTTTACTGTGTATACATTTGTTTACATGTACATACGCATGTAAATTATTGTAAAGGTATATGTTCGTGCACATGTATATGTGTATATGCGCATATACCAATTAGATCTATAATTATTTATTTTATTCATTTGTTTTGTTTATTCTACTCTACTATTCTTCCTCATCACCTAACCACGTGATTCCGCTTTGAAACAAGTGATAAATGTTTAGTTACTAGCGGAGTACTTGTTATGGAGGGACAATGAATTGTTTCGTGTTCATTAGAAATAACCGTTCAGAAAATACTGATATATCCAAAATATTTTAAAATACAAATCACTTATATTCATTTATCGTGGAGGATTCATCCTGTGATGCAACAATAGGTATCAGATATTTGTAGGCCTATCTTAGTTGTTTAAACAAATAAATTATATAAAACACTGTCTTTACCTTTTTTTTCAAAAAAATGTATTTATAATGACATAATGATGTTAAATTGATTATTTAGTTTCAAATGAAAGCTCATACATAAAATTCTTGCAATAAAAAAAGTCTAAAGCCTTGGCAACGCTTGGAACCCTGTTGGCTTGGGACCTGCAAGAGGGCTGTTGATGCAGGCAAGCGTTCAGCCTCTGTAAATATCTATTCGTTGCGAGTTTATTTTTAGAGATACACACTTGTAACTGCTCATGTATTATCATCAAACCCTAAACATACTTGTATGATGATTTGTCAAAATCTAATCGTATCTACTTTATTTTATGGGAATGAAATTTGAAAAGTCGCATAATGATTTTTTATTTTTCCTCATTTTTCATATCATAAATCTTCCACTTTGGGAAGAAACTGTTATGATAAAACACTTATCTTCCTGTGATCCAGTTCAATAGGTAATGTCATAATACAATGCATCTTATTAGCTCCTGTAAAGCAAGAGTGTGGAAGGGTGAAAATCTCTGACACAGCGGCATTGGGACTTGGGGTTCTGGCCTCGCACGCTGCCTAAATTTTGCATTGCGGGAGTTTATATTTACGTGGGTAATTCTACTCTCATATATGAATATGAAACGGACCATAACTCATTTTCGACCACTTTGACCTAAAAATCCCCCCCCCCCCACCGCCATGGACGATCCCCTTAAATATTTCCTGCTTCTGATTTGCAAAACTTTTCTTTTCCCTACTGTAATCATCTCTGTAAATCACATCTTCCTCAATATAAACTGCTGTTTGAAATGCTCCAGGGGATTGAGCAAAGTCCCTCATCTTAAATATCTGTATCTAGTTTTTCTTTGTTACTCATCTCTATACATCATTAATTTAGTTTATCAAAATTACTTGATCGTTAGAAAGAATTTAATAGAAACTGTAAAGAATCAGTTTGTAATTTTTTTCTTACTTAATAGATAGCAAATTGATAGAACTTATATGTAATTCTCTATGATTACTCTTTCAATGAATAATTTTTTTTTCCATCACATGCAATGGACAAGAATCACAGCTCTGTATGAAAAACAATTGCTTGTATCTACAGTGTTCTTCTAGTTATAACAGGACATGTATATACATCAAAGACAACAGAGAATAATTTTATAAAAGGAAAAAAGTTAACATTTGCAATAAATGAAAAGCTAGATACTATACATGAAGCACAATTATCACATATCAACATTTTTTTGTGTTATTAGTTATTCAATTAATTCTTCTCTTTTCCTTACTCCCTTTATATGCAATATCACTGTGATGTATAACTTGATTATACAAACTTTTATTTTGTCATCACTCATTCTACCCATTAACATCTACTCATTTCTTTATCTTTTATCTTACTTCCTGTGTAGTTGCAGTGTGATAAAAAGCACCATCTGTCTCCAAAGTGCGGAATAAAACGGCAGGATCGGGATTTTCTGCCTTGTAGCGGAAGGGCTCGACCAACTCCTTCAGGTAGTAGTACTCATTCTTCACAATACGAATCTTGAAGAAATGCCTGAAATCGTAATGCTGCGAATAAGACTCACACATTCAATATTTTCTAATGCTTTTACTTTATGAAACATATAAGGTTTTCATAATAAGTTATTTATGTAAACACATATGCCAGTAAAATAAAAAGTCAACAGCACGTAAACATACAGTCTTATATCATAAAACTTCCATACACGGTACAAGTGAATTAATAACTTTTACCTTATAGGATGCTTATAGTAAAGGCCATACAAAGTATACAAAGCCCCCACTCTCATCTTTGTGGTCTGGGAAGGGGCCAGGAACCGTTTAGTGATATCTGCAACTTCTTCTGAGAACTCTAATAATTCCTTGAAACTTTGACGGCCCCTAAGTATAAAAGACAATGGTTAACATACAAATGCTAAGTTAGTATGCACACACACACACAAAAATCTCCACTTATTATTACTATTAACTTACACACACACCCACAAGCACACACACACACACACACACACACACACACACACACACACACACACACACACACACACACACACACACACACACACACACACATATATGTAGGTCATACATCCAAATCTATCAGATACACTTATCATTAGGTTTCACTGTGGCACCTGTTCAGAAGTAATGGGATAAGTGAGGACAAAGAAAAAAGAGAAACATATATATACATGTTTTCTTCTGTTTCTTCTGTGAACTACTTTAGACCTTCTCTCTCTTTCTTTTTTTACAAGAAAGTTAATTAAACAAAACTCTTGAGCATCACCAAAATGGTCCTACTTTTTATATGAAAATAAAAGGAAATAATTAGAAAACACCCATTACACATACCTATATATGAGAGAAAACTTCATTTCTCTCCAGCATGAAGAAAATGCAGAAAATCTCCAGCTTTTCTCATTCTCAAACTGCCGCAGAAGCTCCAGCAGGTCCTCCAAATAGCCTGAAGCAATGTACCAACTCCCTGCAAAGGCCCAATAAATTCCAAGAAAAGTGAAGCATACTTTTGAGTAAATAAATGATAAAAACAACATTAATGAAAATAATAATAATAATAATAATAATAATAACAATAATACAAAATAAACATATGTAACAACTACTGGTAAATAGAGAGGAAATGAAACTCACCTGTTTTTGAGTATGGCTGACCATAGCTAGAAATTTTACTTGAAAACTTTGTTGCACTTTTCTTGCCATCATTTGTGACTCTAGACTCCTCATCTTCTTCATCAGTATCATTTGATGTCTCTGAATCTTCTTCGTCACTTACTCCAATCTTTCTCTTTTTGGTCCTCTTTTTCCTGGACACTTTTGCAGGTGGAGAGCTCATGTGTTCGTTGAAGATATCCGGCATGTCCAAGGTGGTCTGCGAGCTGGAGTTCTGTAATGTTGCCACTTTGGCTTTCTTAGGTTTCTTCATTACCAGTTTGTGAATACTGCCTGCTTTGCCCTGAGGTGTCAAGTTGTTTGTCTTACTACCTGACATCCTTTTCCTTTTCTTTGTGCTATCACTTTCCTCATCTTCAGAGGGTTTGTACTCTTGAGAACTCGAGTCACCACTGAGGTCCAGGGCATCACTCTCGTCTAAGTAATAACTAAAGTTCTCTTGGTACTTTCTCTTTCTTTGGCTGCGTGTTCTTTTCTCTTCTTCCTCCCCAAAATGTCTATCCTGACTGTGTCTCTTTCCCTCCCTAGGCTTAATGCTTTCCATAGCAGGTGACTGCATGGAGGAAGGCTCTGACCCTTGCAGAAGTTGGTCTCTAAGTAGCCTTGTACTTTTTTGTTTGCCGTTATTTTCATTGTTGTTTTGTTCCGTCTTAGAGTCCATGGTCTCCGAGCCTTTGTCAGTTCCTGAATCCTGGTTACCTTTACTTTCTTCTATATTCTGTACAATGTCCCCCGGCATATTGTGCAGTTGTGTGTCCATTCTGATGTGAACTTAACTCACTGTAATCTGAAATGATTACAGTATTCCATAAGCTTCTAAATAACTCATAAGAGCAAAAAATACATATACATGAGAGTAGAAGGGAAATATACAAGCAAATAATATAGGTGAATAAGATATAAACATGTTCAAAATGGCCAATAACCAATTTCTACTCGGACAAAGGGTCACATGAGCAATGAGAAAAAAGTGGTGATATGCAGAAAAAACATGATGTGATGAAACAAACAGAACAATCTTCTAATGCCAATGCTACATATCTTAAAAATAGATAGCATATTACTGTTTCCCTTTTCAGCATTTTATTCATCCTACATAACCAGAGCTAGCTAACTATGAGCTTTTATGCATGTACAGTTTGTGTAGTATGCAAACCAGTTGCAGTTACCGATGAGACGACATAAATTTCTAACTTAAAAGATATTCATTATGTAGTTTCTGATTTCCCTTCATGTGACAGGACCACAGGTATATGAGCACATGAATGTGAAAAGACAACTGGGTAGTTTACCAAAAACGTTTCAGGACTTGGAAACCACAGTATTTCAAAACTGAAAATGATACAAAATCCTACTATAATTTAGCAAAAAGACCAAAGATAACGAATGTTAATTGCGGCACAAGATAATACGAAAAAGAACGCTGTAAAATATTGTTTTAATAAGAAATCGACTTACTAATATACAAAAATGTTTGACACTCATGGGTGACGTAGAAAAAAAAGTGAATTTCCTATATCAGCTATTTCTATCTACTAGCATTACTCACTATACCGTCAATCACGACCTCAGATCTTGTCATTGTTAAGATCGTAGTGTAATCAGTAAATTGTCTGCGTTCAGCGTGAAATGTTTACATCTGGCAACTTTTCGGGTAAACAAATAAACGGTCGCTTACTCTAAAATAAGTGAGAGGGCGCTGGGTTATAGCATGTTAGCGAACCCACCTGTTATGATTTTCTTTTCCGTTCAGGGTGTTATATCTCATAACGAATTTACATTCATCACTTTGAATGTAACACTACACAGATAAAGTTGAAGAAATTTAAAAGCTGTGATGACGCCAGAATTCTCATATTGCAAACCAGTAACTGTTATCTACTTTTCTGCTGGAATAGTGACTGTAAGTGTTTTAGTTTCAACATTAAATGAATAAAAAAAAAAATTCCTTAGAGATTTCTTAGTTTCAATCGTCTGGATTCCTAAAACTTATAGGCATTATCTAATTGTTTTCTGTTGAAAGTTTCTGCCTTCAGCCCCACATTGTTATCTTTTCTCAGAGAATTCCAGAGGCCAGAGTTATCAGTTTTGCAGTTTGTATTTTGAATAACTACATTATTTGCTTGTAGCGAAACGTCACATAAAAAAAAATGTCGATCCATTAATTCAATGTGCTGTTTGTTTTTCTACTGAAATGTGCATCAAAGCACTAACCAAAGTATTACCAAACCCAGAGATTTGCAGAAGAATTAAGAAAACAAGAATTTTATCCAACAAAATCGCACCAGGAGAAACTGAAACGCGAGATGGATTCTCAGGTAATTCTTCATAAAATCATTGCCTTTTCCTGCNAAAGAGAGGAGAGCAGAAAGGTAGCCAGAGACAACCTGGTCATCGCCACGCAAAGACCCCAGACAGATGGGGCAGAGAACAAGGAGAGAAGAGAGAGAGAGAAGAGGACTGAAGAGAGAAGAGTTATGGTTTACAGAGGAAGACTCACGGAATATGGGAAAAAAAAGAAAAAACAGAAGAAAGAAAAGACCGAGAAAGAGGGGAAGAAAGGAAGGAAAAGACGGGTGACATCCCAGAAAGAAAAGGAAAGCGAGGAGGAGGGAAAAACGCAATATAAGAGGATTACAGGGTTTTTCATTCGTTTTATTTTCTTTTAAAACACATAAGTATTAATTAGTAGACCTCCCACGACGGAACCCCAGAAATTTAAATAAGAAGAAAAAAAAGGGAAGCAGGAAGAAGAAGGGTAGAAATAACAAAAGCATGCGAACGAAAATGAAGAAAGGAGGGGACGACACGATTGAGGAAAGAGAGGAAGAGGGAAAAAAAGTTTAAAAGTATAAAATACAAACAAAAAAGACGGAGAATAGAAAAGAAAGAATACTCGTATACAATATACTATATATAATAGCTATTAATACTATATAATTAGTATATTAATAGTATACTATATTATAGTATCATATTAAAAAGAGAAACAAATAATGCGAACCAGAAACCGACCGCCCGAAATTTGAAGAGGACGAAGAATATAAAAAAAAAATTAAAAACAAGTCGAGAATACAAACAAAGATACGTTTCAAAATTATAGAAAAGAGAAAAGAAATGCAATAACGAAGAACCAAGCATAACGGAAAAGCAAGAAGGAAAACCAACAAATATATATTTTTTTAATTATTCCTCGCACGAGCGTCTCAGGCCAGTCTGTCGGTTTAATTATTACTGTTATTGTTCCTCTTGTCATTATTATTCACTTGTTAGTTGTATTATGATTATTGCTGTTGATATTATTATCGTTATCTGTTCACAGATAATGAGATTAGATGAGGAGTTAACATCTAATTATAATAAATTTTGTATCCAGAATATTGTTCCTTATATTTCCCTGTTTTTGTTTCTTTCTTTTTAGCTTCAGATTTTTTTTCCAGATTTTGTTGTTGTTTCTTCGGATTTTTAATTTATTTTCGTGTATTTTTTCTTTTTTTTTTCTTTTTTCGGGTTTTTACAATTTCCATTTTCTTTAATTTTCTGTAGATTTTCTGATTCGTTTTCATTTTTTCTTCAGATTTTTCATTTTTATTTTTTCTTCAGATATTTTTCCCCCTTTTTCTCTTCAGATTTTCCTCATTTTCTCTTTCTTTATTATCCTTTATTATTTCATATTTCCTCATTTCTATTTGCTCTTTTCTTCACATCTTCTCATTATTTATCTTTTTCGCTTTTTCTTTAGATATTCTTGTCTTTCCTTTTTACTTCAGATTTTTCTATTTCCTCTTCTCTTTCTTTCTTTCAGATTTCTTCATTTCTCTTTGCCACTTTCTTCTTCAGAATTTCTTAATTCTCTCTTTTTTCTTCTTTTTTTTAGATATTCTCATTTTTCTTTTCTTTCTTTAGATTTCATTATTTTTCTTTTTGAAATGTCAATATTTTGATTTTTTTCCTTTCTGTAGATTTTACAATGTTCTCTTTTCCATACATTCTTCAGATTTTCTCATTATTATTTCTCTCTCTTCCTCCAGATTTCCTCATTCCTTTCATTCTCTTCTCTTTGTTTCTCTTCGTATCTCATCCGCCAAAGAACAGAAAAAAACTCGTCCTCCAGATTTGCTAATTTTTCAGATTTTCTTATCATTCCTTCCCTTTCTTCCTCCAGATTTCCTCATTTCCTTCATTCTCTTCTCTCTTTTTCCTCCTCTTCGTATCTCATCCGCCAAAGAACAGATTTGCTCATTCTTCAGATTTTCTCATTATTCCTTCCCTTTCTTCCTCCATATTTCCCCATTTCTTTCATTCTCTTCGTATCTCATCCGTCAAAGAACAGAAAGGAACTTCGTCCTCCAGATTTCCCCATTAATCCTTCCCTTCCTCCAGATTTCCGCATTAATCCTTCCCTTCCTCCAGATTTCCTCATTAATCCTTCCCTTCCTCCAGATTTCCTCATTAATCCTTCCCTTTCTTCCTCCAGATTTCCTCATTATTCCCTCCCTTTCTTCCTCCAGATTTCCTCATTTCTTTAATTCTCTTCTCTTCTTTTTCCTCCTCTTCGTATCTCATCCGCCAAAGAACAGAAAAGCACCTCGTCAGATTTTTTAAATACGAATCGGCTTTGGACACAAGGACACGAGCGCTGAATATTGAGAGGAATCGAAGCCTTGAAGATCGCCGATTTTCTTCAAGACAAAGCGGGGTCGGGGAGTGGGTGGGGGGTGGGGATTGGTCTGTCTGTCTGTTTGTTTGTTTGTTTGGTTCTTTGTCTTTTGTCTGTCTGTCTGTCTCTTTGTTTGTTTGGTTCTTTGTATTTTGGCTGTCTTTTTTTTTTTTTTTTTTTTTTCTCTCTTTTTTTCTTTCTTGTGTCTGGTGTGTATTTCTTGGTTTCTGTTTGTGATTTTTTTATTTTTTTATTTTTTGTCTTTCGATTTATCTTTTTGTGTTTTTTTTTTCTTTTTTCTTTCGCCTCTTTTTCTCTCTTTTTTCTCTCCTCTCTCTCTCTCTCTCTTTTTACTTTCTCATTCTGTCTCTTTCTCTGTTTCTCACCTTCTCCTCTCTCTCTGTTTTTCGTCCCCCTTCTTATTCTCTCTTTCTCTGTCTCCCCCCCCCCCCTCCATTCTCTCTGTTTGTCGCCCCCCCTTCTCATCACTCTCCCTTCCCCTTCCCCTTCCCCCACCCGTCCCAACCGCGCCCGTGAGCCAGCGCCGAGACAAGGGAAACCGAGCCCAGCTTATCGTCCCGTAATTGGCTCTTGTACCTCTCTCGCTCGTGCTTAATTGGTGACCAGGAACTTGCCGATAGTCAGCGAAGTGGTTTTAAACTCTTAAGTTAATTTATTTGAGAGGATTTGCGGATGGAGGTTGGGGGGACGCCGAAAGTGGGGTGGGGGGGCGCGAGTCGTCGGATGTGGGTCAGAGCAGCCATGTTGGGGGATCGACCATGTTGGGGATCGACCATGTTGGGGAAGGAGTGAAATCGAATAGAAATGGGTTTGGATTTGCCGATGGAGGGTTGGTTATGCTGTGGTGGGGACGCTGAAGGGAGTGGGGTGGGGGGGGATAGGCGAGCGTCGGATATGGGTCAGAGCAGCTATGTTGGGGATCGACCATGTTGGGGACGGAGTGAAATCGAATAGAAATGGGTTTGGATTTGCCGATGGAGGGTTGGTTTATGTTGTGGGGGGACGTGGGGGGGGTGGGTGGATAGGCGAGCGCGTCGGATATGGGTCGGAGATGTTGGGGATCCACCATGTTGGGGACGGAGTGAAATCGAATAGAAATGGGTTTGGATTTGCCGATGGAGAGTTGGTTATGTTGTGGTGGGGATGTGGGGGGTGGGGTGGGGGGGGGTGGATAGGCGAGCGTCGGATATGGGTCAGAGCGGCCATGTTGGGGACGGAGTGAAATCGAATAGAAATGGGTTAGGTATCAAAATGCTTTCGGGCCACGGCGGCTGTGTGACCCTCCCTCCTCTCGAGCCATTAGGGACGAATATAGCTTGGCACTGCTTGCTCATGCAGACGAGGAATTGGAATGGGTCATTTGAATTCGAATTTGGAATGAGGGGGTTGCCAGCGGAAACCTTGATGGCGCAGAAAAGTCCCACTGAGGCGGTTTCGTCATACAGATGAGAAAAAAAAAGGAAATCGTAATGCATAAAAATAATTTGAAGATAAAAAAAAAAGAAGGTTTGGTCTCAGAGGGAGGGGAGGGGGGGGGAGTTGAGGAAGCGAGGGGGAGGGGAGGGTAGTTGGGGATGTGAGGGGGAGGGGGAGGGGACATGGGGAAGCGAGAGGGATGGGGAGGGGAGTTGGGGGAGTGAGGGGAGGGGGAGAGGACATGGGGAAGCGAGAGGGAGGTAGAGGGAGTTAGGGAAGGGAGGGGGAGGGGGAGGGGACATGGGGGAGTGAGGGGGAGGGGGGACATGGGGGAAGCGAGAGGGATAGGGAGGGGAGTTGGGGGAGTGAGGGAGGGGGAGGACATGGGAAGCGAGAGGGAGGTAGAGGGGAGTTAGGGAAGGGAGGGGGAGGGGGAGGGGACATGGGGGAGTGAGGGGGAGGGGGGACATGGGGAAGCGAGAGGGATAGGGAGGGGAGTTGGGGGAGTGAGGGAGGGGGGAGAGGACATGGGAAGCGAGAAGAAGGGGGAGGGGCACCTGGCTTCA